TCCACAGTAGGCCTAGGAATTAATCCAACCAAAATGAAGATCTTGCATGCACTCGACTGGACTATCGACTAAAAGATTCAGTGGAAAGGAACGGCCATCAAGGAAGTCGAAAACTTAAATCACGTCGCTCTATACTGGCAAGAGATAGAAGCTGTGATAAGGAAGTAAAGCAGAGCTTAGGGCTGGCATCTGTGAACTTCATCGACTTTCTAAAGTATGGCAAGATCGATCTGTCCGGACAGCCACTAAGATCACGATACTGAAAGCTGTCATCTTCTTAATCTTGAAACATCAACCCTTCTGAAGCGCCATGAAACGATGTTGGACAATATTTTTCAGCAGAGCTGCCTGCGGAACATTCTGAAAGTGCAATGGTTCAGTCGAACGGTTCTTGGAGACGACCGGCCTGAAAATGCTGTCTGGAGAAATCAGGGACCGAAGTCTTTCGTAGTCTGACAGAACCATCCAGACGGAGAGAAGACTGAGACCAATCCGAAACCGTTCTCCTGCTGGAAGCAAAAAATGGCCGCGGGTGCGTCGAAGCCGAACATCAGACTCAAAGCAGATGCTTGAGACGGACTTGCGTGTGCCGAGGAACATGATCTTTGAAGGAGCAACCAACATCGCCTGAACCATTCTGAGAAGCCAAGGCGTCAGACTTCATTAATCTGGGTACTCTGTCCTTGGCCCTGATACCCCAGATGACAGCAGCAGCAGCAACAACAACAACAGCAACCAATTTCCCTTCTAAAATTTACTTCGAACGTCCAAAAAGCTAAAATACGAAGACGCCCGTGTGATGGCCCAATCAGTTTTTGTCAATTTATTGATGGCTGGGGTCAGAAGGATCGCTGAGCAAAGCATTTTATAATGTGTTTGATAGTCCGGACTATCAACGACAGCAAAACTGGCAGACTTTCAGCACCAATGAGGGAACGATGTCTCGAGCGGAAAGGCAAGACGTTCTCTGTAGTCTTAGTAAACAGTAACAATGTACTATGCAGTTCAGTAGAAGATGCTTGATACTGGAAGGTACTTGATTCGGCCAGTTTAAGCCTTTTTCCATGGATAGAGCAAGGAAGCTGATAAATGTAACACAGGGGCAACCTGAACCTGCCATAGGCTCAAGTGCGAAGCTGAAACACTGGGGCTGTTCATCGAACAGTTCATCTTAAGATATAATCATACATCTTAGCTGCTTGCCAGTGAAGGACTGTTTACCTCGTTTGACGATAAAACAACAGCATTTGATAGTAATTAATACCGCAAGACACTCTAGTAAGTGTAAAAAGCGGTATGTTCCTGTCCCAGACTTATTCATAGGATGCTAGGTGCTACAAGCTGGTAGCGAGAAGAGACCGAAAAGCTAAATGTTGTTACATATGCTTTCTCGTTCGGATACGCTAAACTGTGGATCAGCATAATACGTGTTCTTAATGTTTACAGTTATTTTGTCAGTCAACGCTAAAAATTTCGATTATAATACGTAAGATGTTATAAAAGATTAATATTACTTAATTATAGAAACGATAATGCCCTTTTGAATTCTTCTTGAATTTATTCTTTTAAAGGGGTATTGAAGCAGCAGTTATTCCTGCTAATCGCACTTGGTCTGACTTTACGTGCAAGCCTTTCCAACTTTGGAGGACGTACGTGAAGCCGTACCACTGTCATAATTTTAAGGCCCTCTGAATTATTCAATGCTCTACCGCCAGCTCAAGGCCGCAGTCATGGTGTACTACCATACTATTATTATAAAGTGTACCATAATTTAGAACTGAAATGAAACTGACACAATGAAGAACCACTAAGAGCTAAGTATGGAAGATGCAGACAAAAGAAATTGTTCCTAGATCGCTAAAAGACATTCTCCCTCCAGGGAACGACAAAAGTATACGCAACGGATTACGCAACAGGGTGATGTGCTGTGACGTTTTCCCCGTTTAGCCGCTACGGTAGCCGTGAAGACCTGTCGTAAACCCCGAAGTTGTCGGCGAACGAAGTTTAGCTGGACTGACTAGTGGTCATAATCCTGGTGATTGGGAGGTGGCTACCATTTTTCAGTCTGTCGGCAGATCAGCCTTCTTTCATGAAAGTCAATGGTTAGCTCTAGTTTACAAGCAGATACGTGGTCACGTTCGAATAATGTCACTGCTCAAATGCTTTCCACGCCTCTCTAGCTCCAAGGAAGCAACGTATAAAAACACAATGAACTAGAAAAAACAAGAATTCAAACTATCGCACCAAGTTCGAGGCCCCTGATTCGTCAGCACGGTGGCCCCAGGACATTTTCATGATTGGCGCAACGGTCCGCCGTCGACTACGCGCACATGATAACGAGACAAGACAAACACAGGCTGAAATAAGGAGGATCCATTGACATTGTTACCTGCACAGTTTTACTGTAGCAACGAATGTTCAGCTGTTTCGGATGGGCACCAATCCACACCGACCCAACGCAGATAAAAGACATAAACATCGTTTATTTGAGAAACGTTATTCCTCAGGCCACGTTCGGCCTTCATTTAGGGCAATAACAGTGGCCACGTGATGCAGTGCGTGGACATTTCAAGGATATAAAATGATGACGTTTTGTCAGTTCTTCAGTGCTGGCTGAGTCGTTCGGTCATTAGAGCGTTAAACATACAAACGGGACGTCTCGGGTACGGCCGTGATCCATTTACCCCTCTTCTATCTTTCCAAGGTAGAGAGACGAGCAGCCATTTGTGGAAAAGAAAACATGAGGTTAAAAGCTAGACGTGCCTCACGGCTGTTGACACTGCCTTTGAAACAAGACGCTCCTGGCCGATGATTTAAAAACAGAGATCATCGCCGCCGCATAAACTCAATGGAAGAAGAGTGCCACAAGTGGTGTTATCACTGAAGTGTAACTTCGACTGGTGTTCCAACGGTTCGATATTTCGGTACCTTCCATTTCCAGCCTTTTCAGAACTTCGCTGTATGACTAAACGAAAAGTTTGAGTCTTCGAATTTGTGACGTCTACTTCTGAAAAGATTTCTAACTACTTTACGGTTAGGATTTACTAGCCGGCCACAGTGCGACTGCTCTTCGTGTTGGTAGTTGGGGTAGCGTATGCTCGATAGATGGCAGAAACTAATATCTGTCTGTGGAAGGATTGAAGGATTGATTTCAACCGACGGTCGTACTGTATGAGGCAAGCTCGTGCCGAGGTTGAAATCATTGCAACCACCGGTAACGACGGACAGAAAAGGCGACCCTTTCAGCACGAGCTTACGTACGTTTTCAGTCGATCCATTTGTAACGTTTCCAAGGAATTCTTCTATCGAATGACTGAGCCAGTCGGCTGGATCGCTCTCCGACGAAATCCGATGAACGCAGCTGAAGTCGAATTCGGCCGTCATGTAAACTTTGTTCGCATGGATGAGTAGGTCGGTGCCAAAAAGCGGCGTTATAGCAGATATCAGACTTTCAGTCAGTTTGTTCTGAACAGTTATCTGCAATAAAAAGCGTGAATTAAAACTTCATATCCTGTTTCATTATTTTTACTGTGATATATTCACTGGCGGAATCGAAAACTCCCCCTGAACATCGGGGTTATATTACGTAACTCGTTCGCCTACGAATCGTGACAATGCTCTCTGGTTAAATAAACTTTTGTGTAACTCAAGTTTGAGATGCGGTCCTGTCTCCTATGCAATGCAGGTGCATAAATACCACGGAGCTGTTGCCTGCTCCAATGGTCCCCTTAGGCGTCTAGAAGCAAAGGAGCGGTGCAATGGAGCTGCTGGTGTGAAGTGAGAAACAGATTTTTCTTGCTTTACACTGTATTTTCGCCGTTTCAATCCCAATTCATTTCATTTTAATGTAATAAAGTTAATATAACCTAACCAGGCAAACATTCAAAAACCTATCATTCAGATAAATAGACAAATACATAAGATAATTAGGAAATAAACTGCTGCAAAGGTATGAGGTACGAAGAATAATTTCTGAAAACAATTCCAAAGGCAAAATACGGTCGGCTGCCTATTGGTGGTAGCAAAACCGAAGGCCTCTCATTCCACTGCATCGAAGAGGACTCCAGGCATTGCCGTGACCTCATAGTCCAACCTCCGGTGTTCAATCGTGAGGAATGGACAACGTCTCAAGTAACGGAATGCTTGGTACGGCCAAGTAACGTGCGTGGACAGAGCAGTTTCTATTAAGGCCTGCCTTGAACTCTGAAACGAACAACCGACTGTGTGTAGTGAAGTGGTGCAGCTGTCTCGGAGCAACAACTCACAAGAAGACTATTTTCTAATTACACTGTGAAAATGCTTAAAAACAAAGGAAGCTACTAAACAAGTTCAAAGAAACTTGTCGCCGTGTGAGACAGATAGATGGACAATAACAAGTGGAACTCATAAACACACAGCGTACTAAGTCGCACCCAGTGAGGACTCGTTTAACTCACGGGCAGAATTCCCACAATTTAATTGGGAACTTCCAGATCAGTTACCTAATTTATCGTCAAAAGTATCGGCCCTTTCCTGGCGCTTCAATTCTTGTACCTGTGGAATCTCCTTAATCTCGTAATCATGTTCATATAATTTCACTCGAATAAAGTTGCACTTGGTTGATCCTTGGAGTTCGAATTCATTGAAAACGTGATATAACGACCTTCAGGAACTGCTGTCAAATACTTCATGAATTGTGGCTACAATCTCTTATATAATGAGGTGAAATAAGAATCCAGTTTCGTTAAACCTTGCGTCGTCGCTTACTCAGCTACTACTTGACAATCCTACTGCTCAATTGACAGTTAATT